TTGTTTACAGGCTACGTCTGGGCTTGTGCCTGCTCACCGCTGTATCCCTCCGCGCCGCTGAGACCCAGCCACTGGACGTACAGACACAAAAAAAAGATATCGATCATGTTGTCTCAATATGAAAATGATAGAGAAAGGGCATAACTCCCAAATTGTCTAAGTATTCCTTTAAAGACTGTTCATCCATCAAAAACAAATGTACTCAATCTATATACTGACAATGTGAAAAATGATAGAAAGTGTACAGGACTGCTTCTAAAACATGCAGAGGTCTAATGAAATAATTAGGAATGTGCCCGTATTTGTTGGTTGGATCAGATTCACTTGTTTAATACAAATATTCGATGATTCTTTTTGTGTTTGTTTTCAAACACAACTTTAATGTTTGAACAGTGGAAATAATGGAATATTGTAAACAAGCTAATGACAGATCGGAAGCCAACATTTTCTGCCGATACTAGATGTCAAACAAAAGCCAGAGACTGTGTTGTATTAAGTATCTATGAGCTGGAAATTCACCACTTCCAAGAAGAAAAAAACACATAGACAGCTCGACTTGAAGCAATCTCAGTCAAATATCCGACTTTAAAGGGGCAGCCTGACAAATAAATTTGTTTAATGTGGTCTTTTAATGTTTAGTGTTACCATTTAACATTTTATTTAAATGTTCCTCAGATTACTCAAATTTCAGTCAAAACACAGAGACGACCTCAGTTCTGATGGAAACAGGTGTCTCTTTGTTGTCAATAAGCAGACAATGATGTGCGACTCCCATGAATATTAAGCACATGAATATATTTGAAAGCAGTTGAGCGTTTCTGTCTGCTTCCCTTAACCAGTCCCAGTGATTTAATGTGTGTGTGTGGACAGCCGGGGAGGCGTGACTCAACACATTTTTCACCATGCCCAGAGACAGCCGACCTTTGACCTCTTAACTTGCCTCAATATGTTTTTTTCACATTCAATTGTTATTAGTGTGATTAGCGTCGTAGCATGTGGGCGGCTGTTGGGAGCTGAGGGTCGTTCATCATCGGAGCGTGTTGTGTTTAAAGACAAACTGCAGAAATAAATCAGGAGGCTCTGCAGACACATATCTCTGCTATCATGGAGCGCCTGGTCAGAAGGCTGGTGAACATGTATGTTAGCAAGCAACTAACTAGTGAACAGGAAATTCTCCCATTGCTGTTAATTTTCTGAGGAAATGTTGCAGAACTTATTTTGACGCAGTGGTTGGAGGGTGTGCATTTTCCTTTGGATGGAGCTTTGAAGCCAACTTTCGATCTGTTAAGTGATGCCATGGGGTCCACAAAGACTTTTTCCCTCTGACTTACATTGTGAAAGAGACATTTGTGAATCAGCGGATAAAATTTTTTAACTGTCGCCAGCCCCCGCAAAGTGACTTGTTTCACCACCAGGATTTGGTCCATTCAGTCCGATAACATTTCTTAAGTGTTCTTGAGAGCCCCACAAAAAAAAATCATTTTATTCCCATTCAAGTTAGCAAAGGGCTAAAATGGAAATTTGAAAATTAAAAAAAGCAACGGCCCTAGTTAACAGTTTTTGTCCTGTTTTAAACATTGTCCTTACTTCAAAACCACAGCATGTTTTGCACAGGTAAAATGGAAGACAAGCAGCACGAAACATGGGAGGAGGGAATGGAAATTTATGCAGATAACTCCTGCATCTGATGCATCACTGCTGACGGGCCGCTGCATCAGAGGAAACTATGTAATATTAAATATTTGAGACAAGAAGGAGAAAAATCTGTTTATTTTTCAGTTTCCAGCAGTAATCCAGTCACAGGAGTTTAAAAGTTTACCCAAAATCTCTCATGCTGATTTCTCATAACTCCACCACACCTTTGTAGTTCAAGAACGCTCAAGTATATAATATTTATACAAATAACTTCCTTCTATCAGATGATTGTACTGCTGTTCCACTTTATCCAATATTTCAAGTTCAGCAGCAGTTTTTCTCTCATGTTTTTGGCAGCCCAGTGTCAAATTTTATTTAGCAGAGCTTCATGAAAAATAGATTATCTGCAGCATGGCTCATTTTACATCTTTAGTTTTAGTAAATAGTCGTGATACGTAATTTTGTGCTTTTGACAAGAACTTATGTTATCAGCTTAATAAATATCCTCACACAACCAAGCTTATTTATTGACCAGTAAAAAAGGTATGGCAGCAAATGAACGTTGCACAGGTGAATGTGGATGTTGATGTGCTGCTCTCAGAGTTCACTCTGAATCCTAAACCTCAGTAATGTGTATTTTGAAGTTATGGTGCTTCTAAAGACCTATAAATGGCAGATTGAATTTCCTAAAATGTCTGAGTGTTCTTTTTGGAAACTGAAAAAGCAAAAGTACCACCTGAGGAGAGCCAGACGAACCAGAGGAACCTTTGTTCATAGTCCATGTTGCATGTTTTGGCCCCTGATAAAGTCAGAGGGGCCCCTAAGGGACAGATGGATGACAACCAGCTGATGACGCTTTGTTGTTGTGCACTCAGTTGGGTAACAGCAACCCCTCCCCCACATCTCCGTTCTCCTCAGAGGTCAAAGGTCAGGGGGCATGTGGGTTCGTCTGCAGTCTTGTCATTTATTCATGTATTCCTACATATATCATCTGTTTGGATTTATTATTTCATTCATTTGTTTTCTGTTATTTATGGAGTTAAACATTGAGCCAGTCCACTTATTTCATCAGTTTATTTTCCTCATGTTTTACGTGTTAGTGTTTTTAAGTTTGTTAAACAAATGATGAAGCATTATTTCACAATAAGCTAAACCTTTTTTAACCCAGGGGAAAATTCACAAGCTACAAAGCAGTGCACATTTACCAGCTGCAACATTACAACGATAGACACTTAAATGCATCGCTAATTATGATCCAATAATATAATGTATTGATTCTTAATTAAATTAGAATTTGATATGATCCTGAAATGGCCCACTTTACTTTTGTTACTTTAAAGCTGAACTACTCCCATTTTCTTCATGTTATTTTTATGGTCTGAGACAGACAGATTAGGAAACACGAACAAATCTCTCCTAAAAACTAGAGAGCTAAAACTCAAATTTGTGATGTCATTCAAATAAACACAACAAGTTTGTGCTCTAGAGAAAGGATCAGCACTCAGTGAGTAACCTCCAAAGCCCTATGATAAGCTATTATGGCAAGGCTTAACTATACAGACCAGTGAGCAGTGATAACTAACATGTCTTTGGGGTCATTGGGTGGGAACCTCCTTTCACCAGTGTTTCGTCTTGTTGGTCCCACGACACCTCCAGGAGGCTAGACAGTGATCTCTGGCGTCCCAGAGACACTCCCCTAATGCCAGGTCTCACTGCTCTCCACACCAACCCAATAATCTCCTTTACCTTACTTACACATTGCTTTCTCAGCCCAAACAGCACTGCTACCTTCAACAAACCCAGGCTCCGTACATGCGAGTTCCAGGTAGAGACAGTGCTGATACTACCTTTCCTAGCACATTCACCATACTCTATTTCACACGCTACATAGCATAACTACAATATAAGCTAACGTTAAAGGAAACAGATTAACTCACAGGATCAGCAAACACACTCACCTTGCAGCATGGTCTCAAACAAAATGGATTTGAATAGGCCACTCCCACACTTAAATAACCTTCCTCTTCCTGGATTTCCTCCTGAGAGGACTGATTGGTGGATCTCTCCACCTGTTCAAGGAGTTATGTACCCTGCTTAGTAGTTCCCCCTGCTGGCCCCCAACTGACATTATTTCTTCGCTTCCAGATCCATTGGCTACATCTAACTGCTTCATCTGACATTTCCTTCACTGTCTTCCTCAAACTCTGTCCCCTCACTCCGAGTTCCCCCAGGAGCGAGACAGCTGATCTTGCTATGAATCCCCTACACCCCACTTCCACTGGACAAATCCTAGTCTTCCATCCTTGCTGCTTAGCTTCTGTTGACTCACTGACCACAACACTAAGTCAGGCCTCTGCTTGGTACAAACTATTTCCTGGGGAACAACAAGCTTTCCCCCTAAATCTACTTGCATTTCCCAATCACAAGCACCTTCTAGGCGGCCACACCCTTGCCTCCTAACTTATCCCTTCTGTATTTCTCGCCCTCACGGACAAACTGAATTACTAAACTCCTATCCTTAACACCTTCTGAATTCACCTGTCTTCGTTTCCCTTCGATGCCTGCAGCTAAATATTTCAGCACCTGGTTATGTCGCCATGTATATCGGCCTTGTGACAAGCTAACTTTACAGCCTGACAAAATATGCTTTAAGGTTGCGGTACGTGAACACAATGGGCATGATGGGTCCTCATTTACCCACAGTTTTAGGTTCTAGGGGGTTGGTAACACATCGTATGTAGCCCCTACCAGGAATCTAATACGATTCTCCTCCATACTCCACAGGTCCCTCCAACTAAGCTTTCTCTTCTCTACACTTTCCCAAGTGTAGAGAAGAGGAATGTTCTGCATTTTCTGGTTCACAACTGAGAACACTACAATAGAAAAAAGCTCATTCAGATATAAAGAAGAAAACAAACCCACACATTGTGTATGGAGCAGCCCCAGACTTTATATCACAAGTTTGAGACTTCCTTCCCTGTTTCTGGTGTTGAGAGAGAAGCTCATGTTCACAAATACTGATTGAACTTTCCCTAGTCATAAAAATAACATATTGGAATTCTTGATTCAGGTGGTGCTCCCCTTTATAGTAATATACTACATATTAATGCATCACTGATAATCCAATAGTATAATATATTTATTCTTAATGATCAATCAGTATTCATATTGATATGATTCAGAAATGGGAAAACATGCAAAAATAGTACTTTTACTTTTGGTATTTTAGCTAAATATTTATGCTTTTAGTTTCATGCCTTCTTCCTCTGTGTGAAAACCTGTCGCCTACATTACCCATGATGCAACTCGACTGCCGAATGTTTAGCGGGAAGTTCCGGTGTGTTTTGATACCAGGAGAGAGACGAGGAGCAGGCTACGAAAGCATGGTAAGCTACGTTAATTTCTTTCTTACTGTTTTATTTTCAAATGTGTGGTCTTCAGTCACAACGGCGCCGCTAAAATAGCCTCAACGTTTATCACGTAACTAACCGCACCAGGACATACGGGACACACAAACAACAGAGCGGAGTCTCAGTGAGCCGACGGCGCCATCTTGTGTCGGGACACAGTGATGTTACAGTGGGAGGAGACCGGAGCTCCTCACGGAGAGACTGAACTTAAGACGGTGAATTGAATCTCAGTTTGTCTGTCACCCTGCTGTGGAAGAGTTTGACTCACACAGAATCAGTCACAGTTCTGTTTTCATACCCTGAGGCCAGTTTAACACCAGGAGATAAAGCAACTGACAAGACGACAAACCTGAAGACAACTGCTCAGAGGTCAGTAAACACCAGATTTAACCCATAATTATACATTTTAAGGTGTGAAGTTACACGTTATTGTGAACGTTCAGCTCATATTCACAGGTAAGTGAATAGACCCAGGTAATTAAAGTATTTTAGTCGTTTGTTCTCCAGGATTAGAAACTTCTGTGACTCTGTTAGTGACCGTTTCTGCCATGGTCGTGTTGAAGGTGCAAACGTTAATGCCAGTGGTGTAACTAAGTACATTTACTCAAGTACTGTTGGTAGTGGAGGAAGTATTCAGATCATTTACTCAAGTAAAGGTACTAATACTACTATAGAAACACTGTTGGAAGTGAAAGTGCTGCATTGCAAATATTTCAGGAAAGTTTACTTCAGGTACTCATTGCAGATGTCCCCAGTCAGATCTGATCAGATAAGATAGTACTTTATTGATCCCAAACAGCAGCAAGCAATCAAACAGTATGTGGACATTAAAATATAGAAATATAACATATAGCCTACACAACATGAGTAGTACTAAAATTTAAAATATACAAGAAATATACAGCAATAAGATAAAGAATATCAAATTGCAGGAGTAAAAAGATCAAACTATATACACAACACAGTTAGAAGTGAGGTACAGGTTGTAAAAATGTGCAAAATAGCGACAGTGATCTCATGCTAATTATTAGATTATTACAGTATTAATCATGCATAAATGTGAAAGCTTTAATTTAATAACATTTTACTATTGTAGCTGGTTGAGGTGAAGCTAATTTATACCACTAACTAATGATTAGTTTTATTATGGAATAATTTGCAGATTATTTTCTCCTCCATTGATTGTTTAGTTTACAAAACTTCCTGAAATAGTGAAAATAAAATAGTTTGTTTTACAAATCTTAATTTGTAAATTAAGTAGAAACAAAAGCTGTTTAATAAATTAGGTAGAGTAAAATGTACAAAATGTCCCTCTGAGATGTGAAGTAGAAGCTGCATGAATACCTCAAATTTGTATTTAAGTACAGTACTCAAGTAGATATAGATAAAATTCACAATAGAGTATTAAGTTACAAAGCGTGGTACTTGTACTTTAGATGAGTATTTCCTTTTTATGCAACTTTAAATATTGAAATATTGTTCTTTCCACTACATTTGTCTGACAACTATAGTACTAGATACTTGGCACATTTTCAGTTGTGGAGGAGGTATTCAGATCCTTTACCTAAGTGAAAGTACTCATACCACACTGTAAAAATACTCTGTTACAAGTAAAAGTGCTGCATTGCAAATGTTACTTAAAGCAACACTTGCCTTTCTGGAAATTTTATGCTTTTCTTTGTTTAGGTTAAAATGCTATTAATAAGCTGATGGCACTAAAATGTAAGTGAATTCCACCAGAGATAAAAACTCATAATTATACCATTCTCATATGGTTCTAAGAAAACTCCGACCAATCATTGGATGCCCCGTGCCACGTCTGTCTATCTTGAGCTGTATGAGTTGTCAGACAGAAACTACCACAACAAAGACAGAATGTCTTAAGAATCCCCACTCTCCTATTTCCACCCTTGCTGCCTCTGAATACATTTTTTACCTTATCATTTTTTTTATCCCACTTGCACATCCAGGCTGCTGCAGCAGCTCTTCTTCTCTCCTCACCTGTCACTGTTGCCGTCTCTGTTGTGTGTGTTGACGAATGTATGAGGAGAGACTAGTTGTTGAGGTTGAGGAATATCCTGAGCTGTATGACCCACAGTCCCGTCATTATAAAGACAATGGCAAAGCTAATGCAGAGGTGGAACAAGTGCTCTGATCTTTTACTCTTGTAAAAGTAGTAATAATGTATGTTGATGTACTGCAGCGTGAATCAATGCTTCCTATTGGTGCTAGAGAGGAACTTCACTTATGTCACATGACCCACTGCAGCTTCAGGGTGTTTTTTAACTTTACACATCTGATATATTTGTGGAAATAAGAAGTTAAGTTAAGAATACGTTAAACTGCTGTGAAACTGAGCTGGTGGGTGTTGCCATAGCAACACTTTTTGTTGTTGTTTTGCATTGGACAGGTGTACTGGCAAAGATGAGCTAAAGTATTCCATTTAATTCTTATATCACTGGATTATTATATAGATTATAGTTATTGATGCATGAATGTGCACATAATGCTGGGCTGTAGAAACAAATTTACTCGACTTTCATTGCGGTGATGTTGCAGCTGGTGAAGGTTGGCATATCATAAATTATTAGTTGATTCATATCTTGGATCATTAATGTGGATCAACTTAACCAAAGCTGTTTGATAGGTCTAAATGTAGGCTAGTGCAGTAAGAATATAATATTAGCTCCAGTATTGGGGAATGGAGAGGGACTAGATACATGTAATTAAATTACAAAATAAATGAAAGTGTAATCAGTTACATTTACTGAGAAGAGCTCATTTGTAGGATATCACACTCATTCTGTTCCCATGCATCTTTTCACCACGCAGGGATGCCTTCCTTTTGCCTATTTCTGGACATTTTTCAGCTTCAGCCCCCAGTTTACAGGGTTCCTACACAAGTATGGAAAGTATGAAAAAGTATGGAAATAAATTTGATCAATTTCCAGGTATTAAAAAGTATGGAATATGGAAAATGAAAAATAAAGTATGGAAAAATATTTATGTTTCCAGACTATTACCACTGTTCTAAAATACTGTTTTCTAAAATAGAAAATTAGGTATTTCCAAAAATAATTTAATCAATCCGGATCGTGTTTCATGCCGGGCCAAGCACAGTTTGTGTGAGCGCAAACGTCTCAGAAAACATACCGCCCCTTTTACCTGATTGACAAGTGGTATGTCCAGTCCGCTGCCCATGACCCTCCTCCAGCCCCCCAGGTATCAAGTTTCACTCCAACACTGCACCTTCGACAAGAAGATGAGTTTCACGTGGTTCACAATGGGTAGATGCAAGTTTTTGGATGGATGGCTTGACAATACCGTATATAAATAGTGGTTGGCCAGGGATTCCCAATTCACACACAGAGCTAGATGCAAGCTTTGTGTGAAATTGTTTGACATCGCCAACATGGGGGAGAAGGCGATTCCAAGCTACATGAAAGGAAAAAACACTGACGTCTCGTTACTGCATCGCTTGCACCCAGAGTCCCAACCTTTTTGCCTCAGCCCAGACATTGAACTTATCGTTTTTATTTGCATGCCATTATGGTACTTGGCTACAAATGCCTATTAAGAACAATTAAATATGATGTGAAATATGATACACTGATATATTTACTCAGATGTCGCATATTCTCTGGAAGAAAAAAACGCAGAGAAATCTGGAAATTAGGGTGTGGAAAAGTATGGAATTTTGAAATTCCAAATGCATAGGAACCCTGAGTTTAAAAGATTTGTCAGAAAAGTAATCAGATGTAATGACTTACATTACTGATTGGCTTCCAAAATGTGTAGGCTACTTAAATGCTGTACCTGTTTGAGTAAATGTAGTCAGATTCCCACACTGGGAGGGAGATGATAAAAAATACAGCAACAGAATGTTCCACTGAAACAAACTGTTTGTGACATCATAATGTTCTGTTGGCACTTACATTGAAAGTGCTTTAGAAAGGGATCTCTTTGTGTGGACAGCAGGAATAATTACAGCACCCAGTAACTCTTCCAGTGCACATACAAGATGTTCTAGAAAAGACTTGAAAGAATGAAAGCTTGTCCTTTAAGGTCAGGTCAGGCTTCAAGGCCGCAGTTTGTTTCAAACAAAGTACATGTCAGATCTTCTCACAGCATCTAAAACCTCCTTTCTGACAGTGTATTTAGAGAAAATAAGAGAATTCATTTTCCATTACAAAGGTATCTGTCCGGTCCAACTATTTTGGTTTCATTATATGTCGTATCTGGCTCTAATTATTTTAACTGTCTGCTCAGTTCAGGATGGACATAGAACAGTATTGTGTGAAGCTGTCGGTCAAGCCATCCAGAGGGCTCATGGATGAGGTTTTTATCGTCCTGGTCCAGAACGTCTTTCCTGCTTTCCAGCTGACAGTCCGTGCCCTCCACCAGTGTGAAGACGGACACAGCTGGGAGGCGTTCGGTCACTACACAGCCAACGCCACTGGGACCGTGAATGGTAAGACCTAGAAAATATAGAATAAATAATTAAGAAACTGCATCAGGTATCATAAAGTTTGAGAATGGAAGAAAACACATTTTGATATAAAATGACAGCCTGGTTTTAATTTTACAGTTTCAGAGGATCTCAGCCTGGGCGGGACATATTCTGGGGTTGAACCCATGGGTCTACTGTGGAGCCTCAGACCAGTTCCAGGCAGCAAACCTGGGCTCAGGTAGGCCGACAAGGGTAGAGCTGTTCAGATGATACCAATCAACAATGATCAGTATCAGATTCAACTCTCTCCCATCATCCCTCAGGCTGAGGAAGATGAACGTCCAGACTCCCATGGAGGTCACAGTCTCAGTGTACGAAGGTCACCAGACTGAAGGCTTTGCAGACCAGGTGCCGCTGGCCAGTGTGGTGGTGGAGCGTTGGTACATGGCGCCCGGCATCCGCAGGATCCCCGTTACAGAGGATGGACTCACTGCGACCCTCTTCCTACCCCCAGGTACGACCAGAGGAGAGTCTGGAGGGAGTTGTCCTGTGGGTAGAGCTTGCGTGACATGGAACCATAAAAGTTAACCAAGTTCAGCACAAGTTTGTCGATTTTGTTGGAATAAACAAGTTAAATATGGCGGTAAACACTCACAAATGTTTCTATCAGATGTGATCCCAGAGAACATCAGAAATATACAGTATCATTGTCGTGTAAACTGTAAACTGTTTTTGTTGTTTTGACACATCTGAAGGACCGGGACCTTTCCCCGGCCTCCTGGACCTCTGGGGGGGTGGAGGGAAGTTGGTGGAGTACCGGGCAGCGCTGCTGGCCTCCCATGGCATCGCCTCCCTGGCCCTCGACTACCTGACACCTAAAGTTGCCATAGAAACTGGGAAGATGGTGGGCAACGAGTACTTTGAGGTAAAGTTGATGATCATCCAAATAAAAAAATCTAATCAACGTCCACAAACAATACAAGTTGAGGATTTTGTAAGAATAAATTACGAATAGTATTACTAAGAAGTTGTTGCTGTCACTTCAGCAAACAGCTGCCGACTTCCACACAGTAGACACAGAGCAACATGATCATCCCATAGCAGATGTGTTGTTGTCCACCTGATGAATGGAATATTCACTCTTATGGTTTTTACGACCATTTCCGATCCTGACAGTCTGCGTTTTTTGGAACGGGTGTGATGCCAAAACACAAGGTCCAACACAACAAAAATGTAAACGCAACACTTCTGTTTGATCCCATTTTTCACAGGTTTAAATTGAAGACTTTTTTCATGCAATCAATGGATATATTCCTGTCAATGTTTGTGCACATATGTTAAAATCTGTGGTACTCACTTCTCCTTTACCAAGATAATCCATCCATCTGGCAGGTGTAGCATGACAGATGCTGATTAAACAGCATAAAACACAATGACACTGATGTCAAAAGTTTTGAAAGAGGGTGCCATTGGCATACTGACTGCATGAATGTCCATGTCTGCAGGCTCGTTTCACGACCAGAAGCTGTTTCCAGTTGTCTCTGTAAATTTTGCAGTACATCCAACAGGCCTCACAGAACATGTGTAACCACACCAGCTCAGAACCTCCACATCCAGCATCTTTACCGGAGCAGCGACCCCAACAGCTGATGCAACAGTTCGTGTGCACAACCGCAGAATTTCCGCACAAACCATCACAGGGGAGCTCATCTGCATGCTCGACCCTTCACATCTGGGTTTTGACCTGAAAGCAGTTGGTAGTCGTAACTGACTTGTGCGGCTGTGAGGCTGGTTGGATGAACTGCCAAATTAACAGGACTGACATCGGAGACACCTCATGGTAGTAAAATGAACATTAAGTTCATTGGCAACAGCTCTGGTGGACATTCCAGAAGTCAGCCTGCCCGTGGCACACCCCCTTAAAACCTGTGACATCTGTGGCATTGTGTTGTGTGATCAATTCAGTTGTATTTATAAAGCCTAATATCACATGTCACAGTTTGTCTAAGAGGCTTTACAGCATACAATATCCCTCTGTCCTTGGACCCTCACAGTGGATAAGGAAAAACTCCCCAAATTAAGGTGTGTTCACACTGGACCTGTCTTTTTTTTCGCTAGCGACGAGGTTACATACAAAGTCAATGCAAACGGGCGATTGAGCGTATATTCACCCAGGAGAAAAATTGCTCGGGCTCCGAGCGACAGTGACAGAGCGATTTTTCCCTGTCATGACATGTCAGCTTCATTAAAAGTATAGCTGCAAATTAAAAGCAACAATAGATGTAAAAACACAGACACAATGCATCTGTGATCAGTTCNAAAAGTATAGCTGCAAATTAAAAGCAACAATAGATGTAAAAACACAGACACAATGCATCTGTGATCAGTTCCCTAATTTAATTTTAACAATTTTTTTCAATCTTCTCCAATTTCTTGTTTTATGTTATGGAAGTGATCAATGTAAGTGCACTTGTCCTAGAGCCGCCAAGACGGTTTTTATAATGCAAATAACTCTGTTTAGATAAAACCTACAAGCTTCTCTTCCTATGACTTTTACTAAAAATGTGTCTTGTATGTTTTCTGAAGCCTTTAAGTTACAAAAATGAAACACACTAGATTTCTGAGCATTTATACCTCCGACCGAAATTACACATTTTGATACATACAGGACATATTGCAAGACTCTGTAAAAGTACACCAAAGCATACATTTTCGTTTCCAAAGATTTATTTGAAAACGAAACCATTCATACTGTCAATAAAAAAACATTTTGTTAATAATAAAAAACTAATGTAATCTCAACAGTGACCGCACAGCCAGTGGGACTGCGGCACTTGGAGGGGCGCTGTAATCCTGGCGGTCCTTGTGTAAAGCACCACGGACAGCGCCAATGCATCTATCGCTGTAGCTCAGAGGTTCTGATGCCTGAGTCAGAGCATGTGAGCGGAGTTGGAGCTGGAGCTGCCTCAACCATAGGTTATTGGTAGGAAGAAAAATGGCTGCTGACAAAACTGTCACTGTCAACTGCATCCAAGTGCCGCAACGATCTGCCAGACCATCATATGTAACTTCATTGTTTATGCTGCCCGTGTGCTCAGAAGCACACAATGAATGAACTTTTGAGTAATTTCTGAGAAGTTATGATAAAATTAAAAAAGTATTACAGACTATAGAACAGGACTGACAACCTCTACAATGTCTCATGTCAATTAATTAACACTATTTGTCGGCTTTTTATAATGGCTTTTTTAAAAAAAAAATTTTATTTTTATTTTATTTTTTTTTTTTTTTTGCTGCTGCTGCGCTGTGTCTCCAGTTGAAAGTGGTGATTTGCTAAATACATTCTACAATAATAAATTAGATTAACTTTTGGTCTATAATATTGTTGGCTATATTACACATTTTAATGAAAAATACTTAAGAATAAAAGAAATAAACACCGAAACTTTTTTTAATTGATACGCCACCTCTCTGACATACTAACACACACACACACACACACACACTCATTGAATGAATGAATGAATGAACATTGGAAGCGGTTCAGTCGCAGTCCCACTGGCTGTGCGGTCACTGTTGAGATTACATTCGTTTTTTATTATTAACAAAATGTTTTTTTATTGACAGTATGAATGTTTTCGTTTTCAAATAAATATTTGGAAACGAAAATGTATGCTTTGGTGTACTTTTACAGAGTTTTGCAATATGTATACCTGTATGTATCAAAATGTATAATTTTCAGCCGCTGCTGCGGTCGGAGGTATAAATGCTCAGACAGATGCATTGTCTCTGTGTGTTTTACATCTATTGTTGCTTTTAATTTGCAGCTGTACTTTTAGCTGACATGTCACGACAGTCAAGCACCCCCAAAAATACCCTGATTGCTTCAATGACGTCATCAATGAGAAAAAGCAAGTCTGTTGATTTCTGCCACATTGACGAGCGATTGCAACTGAGCGATGAAGCGATATCAAAGGGGCGAACCGAGCGACAGCGAAAAAAAAACAGGTCCGGTGTGAACACACCTTTACTGCACATTTTAAAGAGTGCTTTTATTGTGACCATCCCAGACACACCTGTGTAGGGGTCATTCTGTTTAATCAGCAACTTGATATGCCACACCTGTCAGGTGAATGGATCATTTTGGGAAAGGAGAAGTGCTCACTAACACGGATTTTTAACAAATCTGTGACCAAAATTTGAGAGACATATATCTATTGAGTGCATGTGAACGTTTAGATCCAAAGATTTCAAAGAAAAAAATATACACAATGTAAAAAGCAAAAATCAACTATGTGTAACTTTATATGAAAATTATAAGTTTCACTTCAGGTCCACAGCACTTAAAAAAAGAATACAGACCATCATGAAGTGCAGCCTGCTTCCTGATAATAATCATTGTCATTGTGTCAGGTTCATGTCAGGTTATGTGGGTTAAAAGTCTCTTTAGACTTGCACCAGCACATGTGTCTGTTATCTGTGTGTTTGTATGTCAGTAAAACCATAAAGAACATTGTTTGAGAGTTCGTTGACCTTTACAAACCAGAGCCTGCTCCAGAGGTGAGCTGAAATCATTTTTCATAACACTATCATTATGACTAAAGTTCTACTTTACTAGTGTCAGTTTACTGTTAAAATGTAGCTTAGGGCCTGACCCTATTTTGAAATCTTAAAATCAATCATTAACCTCGATGGTGTAATTTAGTCCTAACTGTTAAAGGTTTGGCAGCAGCAGCAGGTTTGATTGGCTGCAGGCAGGAGAGGTTTTTGACTTCATCTCTAAACACTGAGCCACTGTTGTCCAGCTGTGTCAAGTAAAGTTCATTTTAGTCACTATTCTGCACAATTACACATTTGCCTCAGAGGGATTTATAATCTGTGCAACAGGACAGATTTTTTTTTTGGAAGATTTAAATAAGACAAAGATAACTGACTGACAGTTTCTTAAAACGTGATGTCATAACTCCAGTCTCCTGACACTGGAAGGAAAGCTGAGAGTCAAAGATCAAATGTGTTGGCAATTTAAGAAAATCAGGTTTGAGTTACTGAAGCTGATGGGAAGCTTTGTGACACTGAATATCAGATAGAGGGATGTAGATGGCAAGAAATGCAGAAAGAATACAGAGCGTTATCCTCGACAATAGTGAGGGCAGGCCTGACGTGTATGTATGTTAATGAAGAGCATGAAAATCCAACTACAATAACAATTCTCTCAACAATGCTGACGACTGCAGAAGGCCTATAGATTCCTGGAGCAGCATCCTCAGATCCTCGGCAGCAGGATCGCCATGTTGGGCCTTTCCCTCGGCTGTAGTATCACCCTCAAAATGGCTGTTTACTCCAAAGTTATGAAGGTAAGACAGCTATAACTGAAAGTTATCACACTTTTGGTACTATTGGGACTTTGTTGTCTATTAAAAAGAATTCTGATGTCTGGTTTCTATCTCAGCTGATCATGTTTCGGGCTGGGTATTGGTACTCGATACCTTTCAAGGTACCAAAATAACCCTGTGCCAAGTAGTATCAACAGCTAACATCCAACACTCAGTTGTTAAACAGTCCCAACAAACTCACACCGACACAGAAACTGCTCGACTCTGTTGTTAAACCTGCGGTGTAACAGTTCACACTACAGTTTGGCTTCTTACATTATACTTCGTTTGATACCCAAAATGTAAATGGAGTGGTGTGTACTACAGCCATGTTTTTTAATGTTTTGGTGGCATCACGGCATGCTGAACTGCTGACTCTGCTCCACTTCACAACACCACAGACTGTGTTTGGAATAAACTGACTATGGAAGAACCTCAGATAGCCCCATACAAAAAATCTGAACTATCCCTTTAGGGGCACTTGTATTCTATTTTTTTAAAAGATACCCAGCTGTGTGTGTGTGGGGGTGGTCTCTCAGCTCAGGTGTGTGGTGTGCATTGGTGGGAGTCATGTGCAACCGGTCGAAGGATCTGTGAAAGAAATGATGGCTTTCTTTGATGAGTAAGTTGAAGCACCGTCAGTTAAGATATTTGTTAACGAACTCAACTACTGCTGATCAGAAAGAACCTTTGATTTTGAGCCTTTAGATTTTAATGACCCTATAATTTGTCCTTCAGCGCTGCCCTCAGTCTTCTTTGTTTTGTCCAATCAGAAACTCTGGGAAGACTCGCTTTGACAAGGAGAACAGCATGATCTGTCGAGAGCTGCTGCTGCCCATCCCTACCGACACCTCATTCAAAGTGGACGTGAGTACCACCGGACAGAATCTCTCGTCATACAGTTCATTTTTCTGTTTTGTATCCGAGTATTTGGTCTCAAGAGCAAGTGTCTTTTGTTTCTTTATGGTTTTTTTGCCTTCAATTGAGAGTACAGTATTTCCAAGCAAGATCTAAAGTGTGAACGTTGAAGCTCCCTCTTAGCCACTCAGCTATCAGGGTGCCCCATAATTGTTTTTGTGGTTTCTTAAAACAAATCAGGTGAACAAATATAACGTGTAGCCTCTCTGCAGAATTTAGGTGATGCATAATTACTCAAATCTGCAGCAGGTGATAAAAGCTGAAACACTGCTACTGTGTGTCTCTGAGCAGGTGGGACGACTCCAGTGTCCTCTGCTGCTGGTTGTAGGTGAGGACGATCAGAACTGGCCCGCCTGTGAGTCTGCAATAGACGTGAGTTTACTGACATGACAACATCCTGTGTGAATAACAAGCTCAGTCCCGATGTTTAAAGTCCAGTGAACACCAGAGACAACTGCATCATCAATATTTGATTAAAAAAAATCCACAAAATGAGACAAACAACATATGTTATAGAATACAACAGAAAACAATGGAGGGCATAATGTATGACCTCTGTCAACACATGGGGGATGTAACTGATACAGACATTATCAGGGCTGCACAATCAATTGAATATTAATAACGATCATGAATTTGGCCTCCCACAAGTACATGAACATGATCGACTGTGATATTGATGTTATAAAAGTGTGCTCCGCTCATAGAAAACTCCTATGCGTATTAAAATCAAGCTTCCTTAGAATCACTCCCCACTTTTCTGTCATGCTGCTACACATGGACCCTGCAGCAGCAGCATGTGAAAAACTTTCCTTAATGTTGCGACTGCAGACTGGCAAAACAAAAATCAGCCGTCATCATCCGGTGTCACAATTGCGTCATCGTTTCCAGTAGTTCTCTGAGTTTTCTGGCTTCTGGTTGTTAAACTCGAACAATCCTCAGAAGAAGATTTCCAGTTTACCGATTAAAGGTGAGAATTTATTTCTGTGATTCAAAAGATGTCTTTTAAAATGTCACACTAACTTAGCTCTCAGGACATGAAATGTAGTGTCTGCTCTGCGAAGATTCCTCACAGTTCAGACAAGCAAAACAGTCTTAGAAAACCACTCCTGATTAAAAGTTTGTTATATTACTGTGTATTGGTGATCTCTCCATGTACAAAACAAACCCTTCATACAAAATAACACATTTGTGAAGAGGACTTTGTACAACCTGAGGTGTCAGAGACCATTCAAACAGATAAGTCATCCTCTCAGACACCTTACTGGACCCAGTCAAGCTTTTATGGCAGGTAACAAACTTTTCAACAGTGATGTACAAATTTACAAATCATATCTAAGGAGCAGCAAAAACTGTCTGAAAATAAAAGATTCTGTGTTTTACTCCGTGTTTTTTAGATGAAGGAGATGATGGAGCGGGCGGGGAACAGCCACCTGCTGACTATCCTGTCGTACCCGAACACTGGTCATCTCATTGAACCTCCGTTCACGCCATTTACCCGAATAAGCGGCTTCAGATCAGCCAGCTCACGTCAGAGGAGTATGGTCACTTTCAGACCGGGAAGCTTTATCTCTGAATCATTCGAAGTTCAGGAAATCAGGACTTCAGTTTTGAGTTTTGACGTCAGTGTCTGTTTCCTGTTGTCTTTGCAGTATTAACTCTGTGGGGCGGAGAGACGGCGGCACATTCTCACGCTCAGGAAGACGCCTGGAGGAAGATGCTCGTCTTTCTGAGGGAGAATCTGTACAGCTGCAAAAACTCCAGTGCAGCTTCATTTTCCCACCTGTAACCATGGCAACAACTGATGATCATAGTGGGAAGAGCTACTTCAGGCACCCCTGGTTTAAGGACACTATAACAGAAGGAGGGGTCATGATGTCAGTGATGGCACCGGAGTTTTGCAGTGGAGTCGGATTTGGGGGCCACTAGTTAATAGGGTGGGCATGACAAGTGCAACTATTACGCATCAAGTCTTTGCTGTTTCACCTTGGACTGAAAAATGCTTCCACAAAATTAAATTACACACATTATGTGATGTTGACTGACGTTTTATGTCTAAATGTGCTCGTTTGTTTGGTCATCAAACAGATCGTGGCTCTGTCCAGCAGCTCCACGTAACTCAACTCAAGCCTGTTTTGTTCAAGCGGTGACAGAGTCCAAGAAATGAAGCCAAAAACTGCAGTAAGGTCCACTTGAGGCTGGCTCCAAAACAGAGTGCGTCCCTGTAGACCCCCATGTTAAAATGCACAAGTTTACAGCCTGGTGCAACAAACAGTTTTGGTCTCTATAGCTAATGTCAACATTCATGACACCTGTACAGGAGGTGGATTTTTTTTTTTAGAACTCCCCTGTTAAATTTCATCAAGGCTTAAAGCTACGCATTTTAAGAGCGGAGCCACTTGAGTGACAGGCTGTCTGCAAGGCGTTACCATGGCATCAGGTCCACCCCTCACTCCTCCACAGCTCCATCCTCTCATCCAAATATGTCCACTTCTGGCTCCAAAACACCAAGATAGCAACGGCTGAAATGCTGAACTCAAGGCTTCAAAATGGCAATCAACAAACCAATAGGTGACGTCACGGTAGCTACGTCCATTATTTTATAAAGTCTATGGTTTTGATGCATGACCAAACGGGCAGAATAGACCTGTTATCACTGACCATACTGCTACAGTTAACCTCAGTGATTTACAGTCATACTAGTTAGCCTATATTAGCTAACACTCACTTGACATTTGCTATCACTCACCAACACCACAGCTTCCTGTCTGTCTATTTTACACAGTCATGAGGATTATTTCTTACTGACATTAATGGTTTTATTTCCAAATTAAAGGAGGGCATTTGCTGAACAAAGTACAAATATAAACTTAGTTCACTGACAAACAAAGTAACTAGTATCGGTAAATTACAAAGGACCAGATTTATAATGATTTGGTGTCACCAATAGCAAACATTATTGAGAGAGCTGGCTAATGTTAGCTCTCCCAAATATTACTTAATATCATTAACAGTTTGAAGGTTGGTTATTATTGATAATCAACTACATACCTGCTGTGTGTACGCGCTACACAGTGAGAATCTGTGACCCAGAAATTGAAGTATAGTCAGTGAAAATAGGTCGGACCTCATGTATCATGATCATAGACTGTATGACATGGCAGCTCCCCACAAGTGAAGCCAAAACAACTCTATCTCCCCCTGGTGGCGTCAAATAAATTCTTCCCTAAGATGGTTCATGTCTTTGAGGTAGTTCTTGTCACACTGATGTTCAAATGTTCGTTCTTCTGATAAATTTTGTTGTAACTAGCAACTTGATGTTTAAACAAGGGGGACTGAGGTCATAATTGACAGCTGCTTGGGACTGGTCGTACAGGTGTACGCGAGGGAACTTGATACCAAAGAGATCGTAATAATCGTAGAAATTAATAATTTTGTAAAAGCATTTTTCAACCCAAGGTGAGACAACAAACTGATGGGTTACAGTTGGACTTGTCATACCTGCCTTTTGACTTCAGTAGAGGTGGCACCAATGCAAAAATTTGAACTCTGTCGCTGACCTCATGACCTTTCCCTCTCTAATAGCTTCCTTGCCCATGTTCAGAAAGTAAAAGTATCATTAATTTGTTCGTCAATCAATCCTTTGTCACATGGAATAGTACGAGGTACGACTCCAGTGACGTGATCCTGTCAGCTCCTTCAACTTGTGCTCTGTAATTTAGTCCTTTTTGCATCCTCTTACATCGCTGGCTGCTGCTTTATCAATGTCCGTATTTCCGAGAGGTTCTGGTAACCAGTGGTTTCTGGAATGATTTAACTGTAGTTTTGGGCCCAGTTGCTTCTGTTGTTGCACAAATTAAATTCACCACCTACTCAGTGAGTTCAGTGATGTCATCGGTGGTGTTGATGGTGGTGTCCTGGTACGTTCTCCAGACTATGATGGGCTTCATCTCTCACGTCAGTGGGGGGCGGCGTTTTCAATAGTTTACATATCTCAAGAAGATGGCTGCAAGGTCGTCCCTCATGAACAACCAAACGCCAGCCTTCCCTGACGGCATAGTTCTTTAGCCACTGTGAGGGTCGAAGGACAGAGGGATGTCATGTGCCTTAAAGCCCTCTGAGGCAAACTGTGATATGTGATATTGGGCTTTATTAACAAAATTGAATGTAACCAGATGAACCCTGTTATATGTTATAGTGCGCTCAGTTGGGTCAACTACACAGTGAAGCTGATAATGTCCAAAGGTTATTTCTGATGTTGATTTCCTTTCATTGTAACAGCTATAATATGAATATTAGACAGCCTGCAGACCGGTCTTACAACACCAGTGAGCTTGATATTAAAGGTTGATCTCTGCCATACACAATCATTGTCATTAAAAAACACCCTTTACAGTATGCACCACTGCACTATTGTCACAGTTTTACCAATTCCATTATGTTTTATATTTGTTCTTTCTGTAGAGATGATCTCTATCTGCACATAGTAGTCAAATGTGTTTTTACCTCATCCTTGCTTTTAGCAGGAGCTCTCTATGTGTATGTGCTTTGAGCCTGGAATCAAATTCTTTACGTGCTCACATACTTTGACAATAAAAAAAGCTGATTCAGGTTTTGATTTAGAGTCTTTGTCAAAACAAACAAACAAAAAAGACAGAAATCCACACAACAGAAGTTAAACTTATTTGTTTTGTTCGATTGTCCTTTTTTTTTAGATCATACATGAAGTCATTTCATCAGTATCTATATAAGGAGAACCAATTTTCACTTCTACAATATATTAAGTATCACGACAGACTGTTAAAAAAAGATGCATCAAAATTCTAAAAAGAAAAAAATCCAGATCAGTGCAACAGAGCCAGAGATAGCAGATTTTTAATTTCATACCAAGTGTCAGGACCTGGCGCCTACACTACCCATGATGCAACTCGACCGCCGACAGTATACATAGACGCCGCATTGATCAGAGCCGACGTCCTCGCCGGCCGCCATCTTGGATGGGTCTCGCTTCGCCTCCACAGTGCATTCACTTCTATTGAGGAAGGAGCTGTAGGCACAAATAAAATAGAATAACTCACTGAATTTTCAACTGATTTTCACGCGGTTTGGTTTGTTACAAACGGCACACATGTAGTTATGATACAGGATGCGTTCGTACATTAAAAATGCGGGATTTCATGCTTTAATACTTTCTGCAGATAGCAACAGCATGTTATTTAGGTCACAACACAGTTATTTTATTCACCTCAACCCCAGAGTGGGATATATATAT